CGAGGTTGCCCACACCGACGATGGGGCACGAGAGAAAATCAAGTTCACTTTGGACTACCGATAGAAGTAAACTGTAACTAGTGCTATTGTCGTGTGTCTCCAGTTCTTCGATTTCGGGAAACGGCATCGACAGGTCAGGAGAGTTGCTATGCCTAATCCGCTAGGGCCGGTTGTTGCGATCATACTCATCCATTACTTTTAACATAAGAAATATCGTACTCAAAGGTAAAACTGAGCCTCTACCCCCGTTAAATTGATCATTCACTTATTGCTTTTTTCCAAAAGAAGACAAGGAGGGAGATTATTTTAACGCTCGAAATCTTTCCACCCACAATGCAACAAACGGTTTTATCGCGTTTCTGGGTGTATAAAGGTTATCGTCAACTATGAGATCAGTGTACCGAAAAGAGTCACTGTGTGAGTTATATCCTCAATTTACTCGTTTTGCTCCACTCGGAAATAAGTTCAAATGCTGCTACACAGAACGTGGCTAATTTACACTGATGGTACGATTAATGGCGAATGTGGTCCAATTAAAAGGATTCGTTAACCAAATGGATATTAGAAGGAGTTCATTTCAAAGAATGACATTCAGTCTTCAGTATTGAAGGCAGAGGGTAGGGTGCCCGTGTGTGCTTCGTCATCACTGGGTCGAAGGTCTGATGACAAGTGTTCGTTTTTCCATATCTCCTTCAGGTGCTCATCCAGACGCCGTTTGAAAGCAGCGTTTGTCTTCTCATGCACCACGGTCACTGGAAGGGAATTCTGGAGTGTTGTTGACCTCCGCGAGAGTCAGTAGACTAACGGAAGATCAACTGACTGAGGTTTCCGCAACGTGAGAGAGTGCCCCCGCGTGCGATCTTCTGTCCGTAAAGGGAATTACTGTTACAGCGCAGGGTACATATCACCTCTCAGGATCTTCTTCAGACAGATGAGATCTCCCCTGAGGTGCCGATACGCAACTGGGAACGGACCAGTAGCCTGTAGACGACCTTCATAGCTGGTCCCGCGTAGTCCAACAACAAGTCTAGTGGCAGCACGTTGTACACGCTCCAGCTTATCCAGTTCACCGGCCGTGCAGAGGTATGTCGCCGCACTACCATACTCAAGCCTGGGTCTGACATGGGAAGCTTACAACAGTCTGAAGGCGTCCATCGTGAGCCGCTTGAAAGACCGCCGAATAGGCCCTAGAATGCTCCACGCGCTGGCACAGACCCTATCGGTGTTTTCTCGGGTCTTTAGTGATGACGTAACCATAACACCCAGGTCTCGTTCGCACGATGTTCTGCGCAATGTGGTTCCCTGGAAGTTGTAGACTACCTCTGAGTCAGCACGCCCCAAGTGCGGATGAGTACACTTTGCGGTGTTGACTGGAAGAGCCCAGGTGTCCGCCCACTGAGCCAGGTTGTTCAAATCCGCTTGAAGAGAATTTCGATCATTCGG